CCCCAAAACCCCAAAACCCCAAAACCCCAAAACCCCGTATAAACGATATTTAATTGAAAATGGGATTTATTCAACGTTGCAAAACTTATAATGAGGCTCTTTTATAATTCTAACATAGCTTCTGACTTGAACTCTGTAGTCTCAGCTTCATTGTTGAAATTAGTCATGTAGAGCCTCTTCACTAAGGGAGAGTTAAGCTTTCTGCTTGGGCTTAGAGCATGATTAATATTCCAATTCTTGTCCTTGACACTTTGTTGCAACATACTGTTTCTCTCAGTCTTTGGAATCCTCTTGAACTTCTTATCAATAGATCCCATGACCTGAATGCTCTTCGGGACGATTTGATAGTTTTCAAGCGAATAAGACTCATCTTGGTCTTGGTTTAGGTTAACACTACTTAAATCTATAATATTCTCATTTTCATTAGGAATGTCAAGTTCATCCGAGTCCTCATCCTTCTGATGGTTGTATCTCATGTTCTTAATCTTCTTAACTTTCTTCTGGAAGGAAGTATCATTCTCATTAAATTTTGTGTAACTCCCAGCTAAATCTTGGTTCCTTCTCCCAGAACTGTCTTTACTGGAGAGTCTCAGCTTCTGAATTTTGGACTTATCCGATATGAAATCTTTCGACGATTTAGGGCTAGTCTGAATACTCATCTTCCCAAATAAGCTTTTTGAATTTTTGTTGCTCGCTGCGAGCAGGTTGTAGTCCTTAGAGTCAAGTAAACTCACTTCTCTAGATTTCTTCGTGGTTGATGTGATCGACCTGTCCGTCCTTTTTGATCTGCTCCTTGACATTTTATTTTTACTTCTGTTATATTTCTTGCTTTCTGGGCAAACTCTAGTAATCACCTCATCTCGTGGGACCATTGGAGGAATATTATAAGTAAGCCTACAGTTCCTAACATGTTCGAGGAAGGTTTTGACTTCAAGTTGCCTGTCTCAACCCAAGCAGTGGACATCTCTGATCATGTCTCGATTCCTGATCAGCATTTCAAGGTCATAATTTAACTGCTTTTTCTTCCATTCTTTGAACTTGCAGGCTGCGCAGTACCTAGTGCCATCCTTCTTGCCATGGCCATGAGACTTCTTTGACTTCATCCCGGCTACGCTATTGCACTGGGATACATTTGTAGATGTATTAGTCCCATTAAAGTTCTTCTTATGACTTCTGTTAGAAAACAACAGCTTGTGCGAGGAATCTGGAGACCCATGAGTAATCCCACTCAAATTCAGTTGGGGAATACTCTGCTTCGAATTCACACTCAATTCTCTAGTCCCTTTCTTTGATCTCTGCAGTCGCTCACTGAGACGGGTCCTGGAGAATAAGAGGTCATTACTTTGAGAATGGCTCAAAGTTGGCTGTTTAATCATAGGACTTTTGTTAAACTGAAATATTTCCATATCAGCTTCATTCTTCATGCTTTTCTTCCTGTCCTTCACTCTGGATGCCTTCTTGTAGACTTTCTGCTTGAGGAGCTTCTGCTCTAGCTCCAGTTTTTCCTGCTCCAAGACCTTGATTTTATTCTGTAAAAACTCTATATTCCTCGTAACTTTTGAAGTGGCTTCGTTAGCTCTAGAGCTTTCCTGTTTCTCCTTCTTATTTTTCTTACGCTTCTGGAGCTTCTCAGTTTCGAGTTCCAATTGGGACTTATTGTATCGCTCCTCCATCCTGTCCCTGCTAGCCTCCATCTTGGCAAGGTTGCACTTGAGAGCAGAGATTTTCTTCTTAAGGATTAGCTGAGCCTTCTTGTCTTCCATCTGTCTCTTCTTCTGTAGGTCTGCTATTTTGGTCTCCATGGTCTTGAGCTCCCTCTGTTTTTCGAGATTCACTTGAGAAATTTCATTCTTGGACCTAATGAGCAGCTTCTCCAACTTTTTGATCTTTTGGCCAGCTTCTTCAACTTGTTGTCTTAACGAGAATATTTCATTATTTGCTTGATTTCGAATCTCAAGTCATTTTTCGTTTAATTCAGAGAACTTTACGGAGAAGTGGCTCATCATAGAGTCATCTGCGTTAGACCCTCCGATGTCAGAGTGGATATGGCTCTGAGTAGCTTCCTTTTGAGAGACTAACTCAGACTCGTAATAATCAAGTTTTGCATCTTGCTTATCTCTTTCTCTCTCGTACATCATCCGGATCTCAGCAAGTGCTTTCTCGTATTTCTCTTTAAGCTCTTCAATCTCCTGATCATGTTTCTTTTTCAGTAAATTTCTCTCATTTTCTGCATTTTTGGATGTATTTTCTAAAATTATTTCAGTTGATTATCCAAAAATTTGTTGCAAAATTTTTGTGATGATAAAATTTATACGCTAGTTTGAATAAGTAAACTATGCATTATAAGTCGAAATACCCGCAAAAATTGAACTAAAACGGTCATAATTCCCTACTAAGGCCTAATATGTAAAATTCTTGGTGAAAATCCCAATAGTTGTACCAAGTTCTTGCTTCATGCTTAAAATAACATCATTTTTGGCTATCTCAAGTTCTTTGTACTTGACATCTGCTTCTCTGCGGACATATTCTTCTTCCTTGAGCTTGTACTCATACTTCAATTGTAATTTTTCAAAATGGTTTTTAACGTCTCTTATCTCTAACTCTTGCTGAGCGTTTTTCTCCCGGAGCTCAGTTAATGCAATTTTAGTCTTCTGACTGGACTTGACAAAGTTGTTCTGCATTGTCTCTACCTGCTGTTCATGGATCTTCTTAATGGCAGTTAAGCTTTTATACGTCTTAGGTTTGGACTCTGATCGGAGGGCCTCAAGCATAGCTTCGTTGCATTCCTTTTCCTTCTGAGAGCGAGCCTTTAGCTCAGAGATTTCCGCATTCTGGATCTCCAGCTTCTGCTCAAGAATAGCTTTAGTCTTAGCATATTCCGCTAGGGCTATAAGTCAGTAGAATCGCATGACTCTGAACTACAGAGAGGGATTCTGGGGGAGCTTTCCCCAGAAGGGATGCTCTCCTTAATTTTCTTAGTCAACATTGAGATTTTACTCAGCCTTAGGCTATCAGTTAAGTTATTGCTGTCTCTTTGAGTGTAATAGTCGTAAACCTGGACCTTTTCCCCTTTATTTCTGACTACGTAGATCTGAGCATGTCTCTTTGGCGGATAATTCCTCCTGAGATATAGCTCGATGAGACTTCTTAAGTCTAAGACTACCTTTCATATTTACCAAAATAAATTACAATATGACTTCTTTGGTTTGGGGTTTTGGGGTTTTGGGGTTTTGGGGTTTTGGGG